ATAATAAATAAGTAAATAAAATGACAGAAATGGAAAAACAAAAACAAACAGAAACCAAAGAGTGAGACTGAAATGTTTCTGTTTTCTGGTTGATTCTCAGATTATCATAAAACATGCTTTGTTTTATGTCTAATATTAGAACAGTCCTGGTGTGATCACTCCAGTGTAGATTGATCAAAAATACATCTTCACCTTCCTGCATCACACCCTCTGTGATGCAAGGTCTCCATGGTAACGAGGAGATAGCAGGTCAGCGTGTCACTAGAGACCAACTTGGGACTCTGACACTCTTTGATTGGTCCTCAGCTTCTGCCAGTCGTTTATTTATTTATTTATTTTTTGTCCTGACTTCAGGGGGTTTTAATGTAGGCCATTTGATCTGCGCCTTCAAGGAGCCGGATGGTGCAGAGCGAGGTTAGGATGCTCCAGGACCAACGACGAGCTGCATCACAGACCTGTTGGGTTTGACTGTGAGCAYTTACAGGTGTGTCCTGTGTCCTATATTACGTTAACAGCAAGTTCATAGAAGAAGAAAAAAATAGCTCTGCTCACGTAACAGCTCCGCTCCTCCTTTCCGCTCACGTGTCAGATGGCCCAGAGAGGAACCCAGCGCGCATGAGCTGACACATTTTTCACAAGTCAATAAATGTGAAGATGAAATTAGATTAGATTGGTTAGAGACGACTGCTGAGCTCTGACAGWGAAAATACAACTGATTTTAGTTTGTACTTCCATTTTTATTTAGAGTAATTTCTAACAAGGATTTTACACCCAAAAAGTGAGCTAAATAATGAGAATTTGTTAGTTACATTTTTAACCTTTTATTTTAAACTTGGTGCCCCACATATTTGCAGTTCTAGCTTTGTTGATCTGCTTGTTGGATTACTTTTCACACCAAGTCAGTTGTCACAGATGCTGCAGCTGACAGGTTTAATGGAAAAAGTGTTCAGCAATACAAAGATAAACTCTGCAGCTGCAGCTCCTGCTGACAAAGCTGCCTCCCTGTAAATGAAACTGACAAGCTGGGAAAGTCGATCAAGAGTTTCTTGTCCAGAAATGTGAAAACATCAAGAGTTACAACAGGTCCGTGTATTTGTCCAAATCTAAACAGCTAAAGTGCACAAACTCATTTGCCTGCTTTTTCAAAAAAATGTGTGAATTTGTTATTTTCCTGGTGTTATTCTGGGTTGGTGTGTTTCAAGTTACTTTTTTACTTTCACAGGTTTGAACAGTATCCTTCACAGACTGTTTTTCTTGCCATTGTGTATAAAACACACTCACTTATCTATTAAATCAGTTTTTTTTCTGACTAAACATATTTTACAAATGATCCAATCTGTGTTCATTTTCTCAGTGCACACAAAAAAAGAGTTGTGCTGTTTAGAAACACAAATCCAGATCTCTAACATCTTATCTGCTACACCTGGTGGGTCAAACTGGCTGAATATTGTGTGTCCCATAAAGTCGACAGCAGTACACAGTCCAAAAGAGTTCCTGAGATCCAACTGCATCACAAACACCTCTCTGAAAAAAGAAAAGAGATTTTGTTTTTATAATCAGAGGACAAGACAGTCCACCCTCTTTTAGTTTTAGTATCAGGACATGCAGTTAGGTCCATATATATTTGGACAGAGACAACATTTTTCTAATTTTGGTTCTAGACGTTACCACAATGAATGTTAAACAAAACAATTCTGACACTGACACAAATTTTGTCTTTTTACCTGTTTACTGAAACTTATTCAAGTTCTACTTATATAATGTACATGGACATAAAGTCCAGACATTCAGCTTTAATTTGAGGGTATCCACATTAAAATTGGATGAAGGGTTTAGGAGGTTCAGCTCCTTTAACATGTGCCACCCTGTTTKTAAAGGGACCAAAAGTARTTGGACAGTTGTCTCCAAGGCTATTTCATGGACAGGTGTGGGCAATCTCTTCATTATGTCATTTTCAATGAAGCAGATAAAAGGCCTGGAGTTGATTTGAGGTGTGTGGTGCTTGCATTTGAAGGTTTTGCTGTGAAGTAAACATGTAGTCAAAGGAGCTCTCCATGCAGATGAAACAAACCATCCTTAAGCTGTGAAAACAGGGAAAAAAAACATCAGAGAAATTGTTACAATATTAGGAGTGGCAAAATCTACAGTTTGGTACATCCTGAGAAAGAAAGAAAGCACTGGTGAACTCATCAATGCAAAGAGACCTGGGAGCCCACGGAAGACAACAGTGGTGGATGATGGCAGAATAATCTCCATGGTGAAGAGAAAACCCTCCACAACAGCCAACCAAGTGAACAACACTCTCCAGGAGGTAGAAGTATCAATATCCAAATCTACCATAAAGAGAAGACTGCATGAAAGTAAATACAGAGGGTTCACTGCACGCTGCAAACCACTCATAATAAGACTCAAGAATAAAAAGGCTAGACTGGACTTTGCTAAAAAAAACGTAAAAAAGCAGCAGAGTTCTGGAAGAACATTCTTCGGACAGATGAAATACCTCCAGACAGATATTTGCTGCTCCTATGCAGGACCATCTGACTCAGACTCCTTTATCCCTGCCACACTTAAGATTTTAAATGATTCATTGTGATTGTATGAATGTTGTCCTGTTTTACGTGTTTGTTCACATGTTTGATAGCTGCAGGAAATTTGTTCTTAGGGGATAATAAAAATCTTTGAACTTGCTCAGAAATATCAGTACAGGCTTCAGTAAGCAGGATGAGGTAACAGTTTTCAAAAAAACTGAACAAGTATGGTGTCTGGAAGGGTTGCAGGGGAAAGCCTTCACTTTAAAAAGAACATGGCAGCATGACTCAGGTTTGTAAAGTTTTATCTGAATGAACCAGAAGATTTGGAACAATCAAACCAAGGTACACATGCACATAATGCTCACTGCTATGTTTAGTGAAAACCAAACATGGTGAGCATATCTCATACCAACTGTCAGCTTAGTGCTGGAGGACTGATTATTTGGGCATCTTACATGATTACATGATTGAGTCAATCACAAACTCCTCTGAAGACCAAAGGTTTCCAGAGTCAAATGTAAGGACATCTGTCCAACAGCTGAAGTTAGGACAAAACTGGGTCATAATAGAAAAAAAAGATCCCAAGCATAGCAGCAAATCAAACAACAGAACAGCTGAAAAGGAAAAGAATCAAGGAGGTGCAATGGTCCAGTCAAATGACCCCTGCATTTCAGCATTAACCTGACTGAAATGCTGCCATATACCTGAATAAATTGGGRAAAAAAATGCTGCAAAAAGAAGAGTGAGCCAAAATTCCTCCACAATCTTGGTTCTCAGATTTGGTGCAGATGTAGGGCAGCAGTCTTCTACAAAGTACCTCAAAGTGATACTTGAGGAAAGAACAAGTACCTTACCATAAATGTCTTAAGTGAAAGTTAAAGTATCCTCTAAGAATATTACTTGCGTAAAAGTCTTATAGTATCTGATATTTTTTGTTAGTATGGTAAAAACCAGCCCCAGTGAAGAAAATCAACGTCATCGTTCAAAACTCCTCCTCCTGTTTGCTGACTGGCCCGGTTAAAATTCTGCCAGAGAAAACCATGTCAATGGGAGAAATCCCAAATGGAGCAGAGAAAGGAAAATAGAAATGAGTGGAACTGTGTAGGCACTGTGTGTGCAGGCTAATTTTCATATCAAAGGTAAATTACTTAAATATTGAGTAAAAGTGAGCAGTTCGATTTTCCAAAATGACATTTATTGGGAGATGACCTCCCAAAGAATAATTTTTTCTAAAGCCCAAAATGACTATAATGTCCTATTAAAATGTTACTGTTAAAAATTTAGGGTACACTAGTCTACCTGGCATACAGATATCTTCATACTAGCATTCTATTACTATGTCCCTCTGGAGGACGACATGATTTGTGTCATGTGTAGGTGTGATGGATCGTACAAACCAGCAGGGTGTCAGAATGATATATCTTTATACTTCTCATCAACCACAAATAAATTTACTTTATCCAGGAGGCACACTATATCTGGATAATTGTTTTTTTTAACAATAACAAGCTATAATGTAAACAAGACAAAAAGAAATGAGTAGTGTCTTTCTTCTTACCTTTTTTTAAATGTAAGGGATAGAAAGGCTGAAAAATAAGTACTCTAAAGTACAGATAACCAAAAGTACTTGTACAAAGTATTTGTACTTAGTTACTTTACAACAGGGTGCAGAAAGTCACAGGTTTGATTCCCCACCATACCCATTTGTCGTGGTGTCCTTGAGCACGACATGTACTCTGTAACAACACTTACCTCAGTCAGTGTATCTCATGTGTCAGATCATTTTTATTATGTTCTGATTTGTGAGTCTGTGAACTGTCATTTCCCCTTGACTGTATAGATCACACTGATAACAAATATTTGATCAAAGCTTTTCATTCTACTTTATCTTGAGCCCCATGCCCCCGGTACCAGGGGCAAAACAACTTTTTCCATTTTCTATTTCTTTTAACTTCTTTTAACTTCAGATCTGTCAGTTGAACTTGGACATGTTTGGTATGAAACAAACCTCAAGAATCTTGGCTAAAAACTCAATTGAAACTATTTTTACATTCACCAAACACAGTTCAAACGTCAAGCAGTTGAATCAGAAATTAAACAAACTGTACAAAATGATGTCATTTCAAATCTGTAAATACATTCAGGCAAATCTGCAAAGGAAAAAATTTTAACTTTATTTTACAGCAAGTCAAAGCAGATACAAAAATATGTTGTAAAGTGTGGTGAAAGTTTTTTATGCTTGATTTAGAGTGAATATGATCCAACTGAATTTAAATATAATTTTTCATTATTTTATATAATATACATGGTGACAAATAAATGTTTGGATATTTTTTTCAAAGGAACAAACATTCAATAAGTCTTTTAAGGCAGGTAAGAAAAAATAAATAACTTTTGGTTGTAACAACTTCAGATTTCTTAATATTTATTAATGGTACCATCATGGTCTGTCCTGTGCAGAATGACAAAACACAAATTTATTTCTTTACTAAAACCTCTTTAACTCTGCTCCAGTTAATTTTAGCAGCATGAATCTTTGCACAGGTAATGTCCACAAGTGGATTTATGGTTTCCAATAGTTTTTAGCCTGTCTAGTGAAAAATTTATTCAGATGAATGTGAAAAAAAAATATATTCCATCCTCAATATCTAAAACCACAGGAACTGTTTTAATAATTACACTTCTGATGAAACCTCCCAAGTGTTAGCTTTATTTTGATACCAAGATTATTTATACACTCAGTTACATTTCAGCATGGTATTTTGAGAAAAAAAAWTCAAGAAAACTCGTTGGGGTTATGCAGAGAGGAATTACATAAAATTGGACAAGAATTTCTTGGACTTTATTTGTATTTTACAAACAAGTCAAAGCATTTGATCTAAGGGTATATTTGTAGGTTTTTACCTTCAGGATAAAGTAATGTCATGAACAGGAGTCTGACCTCTGGTTGTGTCTTTGGCTGTGTTTCAGGGACCTACCAGGGCCAGTGGCTGGCAGGGATGCGTCATGGCTACGGTGTACGGCAGAGCGTCCCGTACGGTATGGCAGCTGTCATCCTCTTCCCTCTGCGTACGTCTATAAACTCTCTCCGCTCTGAGCATAGTCATGGCCAGCCAGCTATGCTGGAGGATGGGGTTGCCACCACGCCCACAGATGGAATCGTTGCTGGGCTGGCAGGCAGTCCGGTGGGCCGAGGTGGTTTTGCTTTGACAGCTCCAAGTGAGGCAGAGCGGCAGAGGAAAAGAAAGGGTCGCTTTCGGCAGTCTATCCTGAGTGGGCTGAAGCTTCGACGCTCTGAGTCCAAAAGCTCCCTGGCCAGTCAACTCAGCAAGCAGAGCTCCTTCTGTAGCGAAGCTGGCATGAGCACAGTCAGCTCTGCTGCATCTGACATCCACTCCAAYGCCAGCGAAAGTGAGCAGGGCGCCCCCGTGGATGCTACTGTAACTGAAATGTACGCCGGAGAGTGGCGGAGCGACCAGAGGGCAGGCTGGGGCATGAGCCGGCGCTCAGACGGGCTGCATTACGCTGGTGAATGGGCAGGTAACAAGAGGCATGGCTATGGGTGCACCACCTTCCCTGATGGCACAAAGGAGGAAGGAAAGTACAAGCAGAACTTGCTAGTGAGCGGAAAACGGAAGAACTTGATCCCACTGAGGGCCAGTAAAATCAGAGAGAAGGTAGACCGAGCTGTGGAAGCAGCTGAGAAGGCAGCAGACATTGCCAAACAGAAAGCAGAGATTGCGATGTCACGGTAAGATGTTCCTGGACTGTCATCTACCACTTGTTGTTGCTGAAGTGCAGATATGTGTTTGCTGTAACAAATATTCTTGAGCTGTCCCTGCTTTATTTATATTTAATAATACAATTCCTTTAAAATAGGTCAGTACAGTTTTATGTAAAAGCCAGTAAATTCTTCAAAGACTTCCCAAAGCCTGGAGAACAACAAAGTTATTTTAAAAAAGAGTCTGGCTCTGTGTAAAAATTTTTTGAAAAAAATTACATTTGAATCCTGTACACATTCAAATAAGAAAACATACTTTAAATAGCTTTGGGTTTGTATTACAAATAATAATAATAACTATGTATTAACATTTCAGCAGGGAAGTCATCAACAAAATTAAATCAACAAGTTAGACTGACGTTACTATGGAGCCCGTCCGATGACATGGAACTAAAAAAAAATTATCACGTGGCCACAAGATAACACGTACCCACATGATAATTAATTATTGATAATTAATTATTGCCCACGCAATAATTATGTTGTGGCCACCACATAGCTAATTATTGTTGTCATTTTTGTGCAGACTGTTCGTTGTTTACATGGACAAGTCTAAATTTACCTAATTTAATTTGATTTTAACAGAATGAATGGCGTTGCTACGTCAGCACCTTACGTTCGGCATGAAGTAGCTGTTTCTTAGCTTTATGTGCTGCAGCTATAAGTCCCAGGTGACAACTGGAGTTGTCTATTTGTCCAAAAAGCTTTATTTTCTTTTTTGAATCTCAACTATCAAAACAGGCTCCTGTCCATCTGCTGAGTTATGCTGCGTTCAGGAACACAGTAAAAAAATCAGTTTCCCGACACACAACAGGGCRTTCATTGACATTACATAAATAGCCTACTATGAAAGATGATCCATTTTTATTGGCATACACAAAAAATAATAATAATAAGTGTGCATATTTAAACAGTTAAAGATAAAACAATGCAGGCTATACAGCGGGTAAAATAAATATTGAACATGTCAACGTTTTTCTCAGTAAATATATTACTAGAGGTGCTAATGACATGAAATTTTC